TCCCGGCAGCAATTCAGCTGAAGTCTGACTCACTCGATCCCTCCCGCCCTCCCTCCCTCCCTTCCTTCACTCCTTTTGCTTAAACAACTGGACACTTCATTACCTCACATCCCAGATGCCCGGATGTAGGGCTACTCCACTCAAACTTGAGCCAACACCAGGCTCCCTCCGTCGGTCTTTCCTTCTCTACCCTCCCCAGCGCTGGCATCTTGGACCAGAGGTCAGGGAGGACCTCCTGTGGGGCTCCCGTGGCCCAGCAGGAAGGAAGGCTCTTCCTCTTTGGTTGTGTTTTCAACAGAGAAAGTTGGACTTTTCCAGTTATCAGCTGGGGATTGTGGAAGCTTAGCTCATTCTCTGGTGGCCCTCACCAGTTCCTAAAACATGTAAAATTTGAGCTATAACTCACCGACTGCAACATTCACCAATCTACGGCGTACAGTTCAGGAGTTTTCAGTGCAGTCACAATGTTGTGCAAACATCACCACTACCTGACTCCACAACATTTTCATCACCCTAACCTAAAAGGAAGCCCCCCAGCCATCAGCTGTCACTTCCCATGCCCACCTACTGCCAGCCCCTGGCAACCACCAATCTGCTTTTTATTTCTGTGGATTTGCCTGTTCTGGGCATTTCATGTAAGTGGAACCAGGCAGCATGTGACCTTCTGTGTTTGGCTCTTTCATTGAGCCTGAGGTTCTCAAGCTTCATCCATGTTGTAGCCTGTAGTGTCAGTATTTCACTCCTTTTTGTCACCCAGTAATATTCCATATTATGGGAATAATATTCCAATTACGTTCGAATATTCCTATATTTATATAAATGGAATAATATTGCATCGTATGGACCTACCATATCTCTTCCTAACTTTTCATCTTCCTAGCTTCCTTTCCTCCTTCTCTTTTTTCCGAACAGTAAATGTCTTTAGATTAGACACTTTAAAAAAAGCCTTTTATTCCTGCTGTGTCTGTGGAATCCTGACCTAGGTTTGGGCTCAGGGAAAGCATTTAATACAAGTTGGCTGTTTGAGTGACAGAAGGAAAGGATGAATGACCCGACCTGCCTGCCCGTCAGGACAGGCATAGGGTGGTCACAGGGCATGACACAGCACCCTGTCCCCAGATGACAGGCCACCCCTGGGGAGAAAGACTGGCACCTGGCCTCTGAGGATCCTGACTTCCAGGCGAGCAGAAGACCTTGGGTTTGGACACAACAGGTTTTCAGTACCGCCCTGGCCTCCCCACTGTGGCTTGGTGGCTGTCAATATATGTCAGTGAAGACTTAGCTGAGATGAGAAAAATTAGGAGACTCAGTCTGGAATGCTTCCAGGTGCACAAAATCAAACAATCATGTTACACTGCTGGTCGTCCAGTCCGTGTTTGCACAGAAAATTAAAACAGGACAAAATTATATTGAATTTTGATATGAGTCACTTGATTTTCATCTAAAAATAATAAATTAGTATATCACTTGACAGTATCTAATCTATAACCTCAGGTCCCATTTTAGTGACATGGGGGAGCTGCTTTTAGCATGAACGGAGGTGACCTATAACCCACATCAGGGCACGCATCTGTCATTCAGGGGAGGATGCTTCACACGGAGGCTGAACGCCCAAGTCAGAAATGGCCATTTACGAAATCGAAGATGCTAAAGGCTGCTGTTTTGCTGAACGGCAGACCCTGGCTCCAAAGAAACGACGGGCACTGGTAACTTTAATGTACTAGATATGCACAGTGGATAACGGTGTTGGGGAGGTAAAAAGAAGAGCTACTGAAAACAAACCCAAGAAAGCGAAACTGAAGTGAAAACCACATATTCCTGGACAAGATATACACCGAACAAACTTTTTTTCATGTTTTTGCTTTGGTTTTGAGAAATTAAAGACTGAAATGAGACTATTCAACAGTTATTGAAAGACAAGAAAGGAAGGATGGAGGGAAGGAGGGAGGGAGGGAAGGATGGAGGGAAGGATGGAGGGAGGGAAGGAAGGAAGGAGGGAAGGAGGGAGGGAGGAAAGGTGGGAGGGAAGGTGGGATGGAGGGAAGGAAAGCCATTTCTAGATATTGTATGAGGGATTCCACACCTATAAATGTTCTGTTTTTAAAACTTGTTGACTTTCTCTAGTGTTGGGAACTACCCCCAATTATTTCTTGACTTACCTCAGGAAGTTTTACTCTTCCCAAAACATTACCCGTTATATGTGTTTACATTATCTGAAAACAACTCTCTAGTGAAAGTATTACAAAAATATCACAATGAAGTGATATTCTAGAAATCATATGAATAATTCAGAAAAAGTAACTGCTGCTTATAACTACCTTTCAGTCGATGTCCTGCACTGTACGGGGTACGTTGGGCGGGAGACGTGAAAGGAGGCAGGCACACAGCCTTTTTCTGCACAGGTCAGGACTCCACCTGGAGAAATCCCGGGGACACTGCTAGAGGCTGGTGACCAGCTGCATCTCCTGTGTCCACCATATGGAACAAAAGAAAACTTCCAGGGAATTCGGGGACAGGAAAGCCATGGGGGAGGCCATGGAGAGTTGCCAACCTCCGGGCAGGGGGAGCGGGAGTGTGGCCTGGGTGAGAGTGGGAACCCTTGTAGCTGAGTGTCTGCTACACACCCTGAGCTGGGCTAAGTGCTTTCACTCATTCTAGTCTCTCCTCAAGGCAGAAGAAACTTGGGAGGTGGCCACGGAAGACTGAAATCAGAAAAGTAGCCTACGACGTGAGAGTAACTCAGCAGTATTTTTTGATGGAAAATTCCCCAAATACTTTATCAAACAACAGACAGATCTACAGCGTAATGATTTTAACACATTTTTAAAAAAAGTATTGTGCGACCCTTAACTTCCTAACTGCTACAAAATATACCGCACTTTTAAGGTCAATAGCACCTCGACGAACTCATTTCAGTTAGCTGTAAAATGAAGTTGGGCTTCCGTGTGAGAAGAAAATCTCTATTTTCTCAGGGTCATTTGCCAAAAATATTTCGCATGTGTACTTAACACTAATTCCAATGGATAACCGAAAAGCTTGTGTTGCTCTAAATTCTAGCAAATAAATATGTAGCGATAAGTTCCTTATAACACATTTTTATGGGATATTATTGTAATTTTTAAAGTCTATGAACAAGTAGTTAAGTTTTATCATCTTATGTAGGAAAGCACCTTTTTGGTGGTTTCTGGAAGTGAGGGGAATTTATGAGCCTCAGTCTTTGAATTAACTAATGAATCTGGGGAAGGAATAAATACTTGGGCTCAATTTCAGCTCTGCTTGACCCGGGCCTCCCTCTGCCTTCCCACCACACATGACCCAGCCTTTTCCTTTTGATATCTATATTTTAATTTGAACCTTTCCTCACCCTCTGATTGGAAAATCTTTTGCCTTTTACACGATTGGCCATTTGGGATTGAATCACCTCCCAGCAGCCTTCAAAATAGGATGTTTGTATTTCCCACTGCGTGTTCTCCACCGTAACGCAGACGGACTCCCTCAGCATGTGTGCGTATGTATGTGTGTGTGTGTGTGTATGTATATATATATATATATATATATATATATACACACATACACACTGCAGGCACGTGGTGAAGACACACGCCCCGACCTCTATCGAGTCAACACTGGTGAGCATTTTCTTTCAATTCTAACCGCAGTCCTATTTCTACTAACGAAGCCAAAGACACATGTGGTTCTGAATATTACCTTTTTATTTATTTTTTAAATGAAGTTTAGTACCTTTGAAATTAGAACGTATTGTAGATAGGGCTCGACTTCACTCATTCGGTTGGACTCACAGGATTCCATTAAATAGATGCACAGAGAAGAGAAGTAACCCTTTTCTTAGAGATGGACTATTACCTTCGTTTCCAGTCCTTCATTCCTATGAACCCTCCTGCAATAAACAGCTCTACGCTATTCGTGTGATCATATGCGTATTTCTATGGAATGAATTCCAGTTTAATTCGTTGAGTGAAAAGGTGTGTGCGTTAAAAATTTTTTTTGCGAATATCTTTATTGTGGTAAAATATATGTAACAGCAAATCTGCCATTTTTTAAACCATTTTTAAGTGGACGACTTAGTCTGTGGCATTAGATACATTCACCATGTTGCCAACTGTCACCACTGATCTTTTCCAAAACTTTCTCATCACCCCAAATAGAAATCTTGTAACCATTTAGTAACAACTCCCCATTCCCCCTCCAGAAGCCCCTGGTAACCACTAAACTACTTTCTGTCCCTGTTTGTTTTCTTACTGTTGAGTTTTAATTGTTCTTTGTATATTTTGAATATGGGTCCTTGATTGGATATGTGTGTCTGTGGTTTGTTGTTTCTTTTTCTTAACAGTGTCTTTTGCAGAGCAGAAGTTTAATTTTACTGAAGTCCTACCAATCATTCTTTTCTTATTCTCCAGTGTTGTATCTGAAAAGTCCTTGAGAGACCCAGGGTCACCCAGATTTCTCCTATGTTAACTTCTACAAGTTTTATAGTTTTACATTATGTCTACAATCTATTTTGAGCTAATTTTTTTGTGAAAGATGTAAGATCCAAGACTAGCTATTTGGCCCACATAGGGTCTACGATGGTGAATGTTCCATGGGACCTTGAGAAGAAGGGGCGTCTGCTGTTGTTGGATGAGGTTGTCTATAGATGTCAGTTAGATCCAGCTGATGGATGCTGTTCAGTCCAACTACGTCCTTAGTGATTTTCTGCCCCTGGATCTGTCCATTACTGACGGTGGGGTATTGACATCTACAGTTATAACAGTGGAGGCACCTATTTCTCCTTGTAGTTTCATCAATTTTTGCTTCATGTATTTTGACACTCTATGGAGTGCATAAACGTTAAAAATTGTCATGACTTCTTGGAGAATTGACCCCTTTATCGTTAGGTAACTGTAGGCCAGAAACTGGAAGTCTCATCTCTGGGTTTTTCACAAATGTCCTCTATTGTGCTGAGGAAGTCCCCTTCTATTCCTAATTTTCTGAGTGTTTTTAACCATGAACAATTGTAAGGTTTTGAAAATGCCTTTTCTGTATCAATTGAGATGTTTTCTTTCCTTCTTTTAATGTGGTATTAATCGATTACTCTTATGTTGAACCACCTTTGCATTCCTTGTTTTTTTCTGAGTTTTTTTCCCCCACCTTTATTGAGATACAACTGACTTGCCTCCCTTGAATAAATCCCACTTGGTCATGTGTCTAATCTGTTGGATTAGGTTTGCTATACTTTTACTGAGGATTTCTGCCTCTATGCTCAGAAGGGATGTTGGTCGGTAATTTTCTTCCTTGTGATCTCTTTATCCAGCTTTGGTATCAAGGTAATGCTGGCCTCAAGGAATGTGTCGGGAAGTACTCTCTCTGCTTCTATTTTTCTGGAAGAGCTCAAAAAGGACTGGTGTTAATGTTGTATATGTGTTAATTGGTGTATATGTTTTGTAGAATTCAACAATGAAGCCATCTGGACATTTCTTTCTTGGAAGTTTTTTTTTTTTTTAAATTACGAATTGATCTCTTAACCTGTTATAGGTCTATTGAGATTTTCCATTTCTTCTTCAGTCAGTTTAGGTAATTTGCATGTTTACAGGAATTTATCCATTTCAACTCATCTAATTAGTTGTACAATAGTTTTCATTTCTGATTTTAGTTGTTTGTGTCTTCTCTCTTCTTCCTGTCAGTCTAGTGAAAGGTTTCTTAATTTTTTGATCTTTTCAAAGAATCAACTTTCAGTTTAGTTGATACTCTTTATTGTTTTTCTATTCTTTAATTTTCTCTACTTTACTATTGATTATTTCTTCCTTCTGATAACTTTGGCTTTCCCTAGTTTCTCAAGGTATAGAGTTAGGTTATCGATTTGAAATCTTTACTCTTTTTAAAATCTTTTAATAGCATTTACAGCTATTCATTTCCCTCTAAGCACAGCCTTTGTAACATCCCATATGTTCTGGTATGTGGTGTTTTCATTTTCATTATCTCTAAGTATTTTCTAATTTTCCTCACGATTTCTTCTTTGACCCACTGGTTGTTTAAGGGTGTCTTGTTTAATTTCCACATACTTGTAAATTTTCTGGTTTTCCTCCTGTTGATTTCTACCTTTTATCCTCAAAAATATACTTCATATGATTTTAATCTTTTCAAATATACAGAGACTTGTTCTGTAGCCTAAAATATTGTCTATCATAGAGAATGTCCCACGTGCACTTTATTTAGAAGTGTACTTAGAAGTCTATTTTCTCTTTTCGAGTAGAGTGTTCTACATATACCTGTGTATTACATCTAGTTGGTTTACAGTATTGTTCAAGTCCTCTATTTTTATTGATCTTCTATTTAGACATCCTATCCATTACTGAAAGTGCATGCAAGTCTACCATCCTTTTATTTCCATCTGAATAACGTCCCTTAGCATTTTTTTAGAGCAGGTCTAGTAGTATCAAACTCCCTCAATTTTTTGTTCATATGGGAATGCCTTAATTTTGCCTTTATTTTGAAGGAAAGGTTCAGTGGATACAGACTTATGTGACAGTTTTCTTGCAGCACCTTAAATATCATCTCATTCTCTTCCGGCCACCACGGTTTCTGGTGGGAAATCAGGTAAATAACCTTTTAAGAGTCCTTTGCATGTGATGAGTTGCTTCTCTTCTGCTTCTTTCCCTCTCTCCATTTTTTGTTTTTCAATGGTTTAATTATAATGTGTCTTTTTATGCACCTCTGTGTTTAGTCTACTTGGAGTTTATTAAGCTTCTTCGACTTGTAGATTCATCTCTTTCCTAAAAATTTTGGAAGTTTGTGGCTATATTTCTTCAAATATTATTTTATTTTATTTATTTATTTTTTGCGGTACACGGGCCTCTCACTGCTGTGGCCTCTCCCGTTGCGCAGCACAGGCTCCAGACGCGCAGGCTCAGTGGTCACGGCTCATGGGCCCAGCCGCTCCGCGGCATGTGGGATCTTCCCGGACCAGGGCACGAACCCATGTCCCCTGCATCGGCAGGCGGACTCTCAACCACTGCGCCACCAGGGGAGCCCTTCAAATATTATTTCTGCTCCTTTCCTTCCTTCTTCTCCTTCGGGAACTCCCACGATGGGTATATTAGTCTCCTTGTTGATATCCACAAGTCCTTTAGGCTCCCCTCACTTTTCTTCATTATTTTTTCTTTCTGTTCCTCAGCCTATAATTTCAGGTGTCTTGTATTAAAGTTTGTGGATTCTTTCTTCTGTGTGCTCAAATGTGCTGTTAAATCTCTGAGTGAATTTTTCATTTCAGTTATTGTACTTTTCTTCTGCAGAATTTGTTTGGTTTCTATAATGTTCTATCTATTTATATTCTCATTTGTTTATATACTGTTTTCTCAATTTCTTTTAGTCGTTTGAGCATATTTAAGACAATTGTTTTAAAAGTATTTGCCTGGTAAATCCAATGTCTGGACTGCTACAGGAATGGTTTCTTTCAATTTACTTTGTTGCTTAGAATGGGCCATACTTTCCTGTTTCTTCTACTTTTCTTTTTTAATTAAAACTTTAAAATTTTAACAGGTTAAAACCTTCCTATGTGCTTTTTATTTTTCGTTGAAAACTGGACGTTTGAAAGTTATACTGTGGTAACCCTGGAAACTCTTCCCCAGGGTTGGCTTTTTTTGTTTTTGAAGGCTACAGTAGTCTGTTTAGTGACCTTCCAACCTTTTTTTTTTTAAACTGTATTTGCTGTGGTATGTGGTCACTAAGGTCTCTGTTCCTTAGCTTGAGACGAGCTAGTGTTTTGACAGAAATTTCCTTGATGCCAGGAGCTAAAAAAACAAAGAACAAACAAAACCGTTTTCCCAGTCTTTCCAGATTTTCTCTGTGCTGAGCTGTCCTCCGATGTGTAGGCAGGCTTGCAAGAGCCTAGATGTTAGCCTGAAGCAAAAACTCAGAGCCTTCTCAGGTCTTTTCCGAACACACATACTGACCTGGGTATATGTGTGGCTTTCTAAATTCCCACTTACAAACAGGTACTTTTTATTATTTTTTTAATCATGGTAAAATACACATACCTGATGACTGGTTGGAGCCAAGGCAAATTCCACAAAGTTTTCTTACCATTTTTGAGTTGCCTTTTTCTTGATTAAGCGTTTTCTTGGTTGCTGTAAACATTCGACTATTTCCCAGTGTTCTGACGAAGTTGTTTCTGACCATTTCTCCCTGTTTTGTTGACGCTTCTGCGGGTGGACCAGCATTTGGAGCTGCCTACCCCACCATTTTGCCGATGTCACTCCTGTTCACCTTAAATCTCCCTTCAAAGAAGCTCTGTCAGTCTTGGGAGGGAGCATCGAAGGCCTTCATCAGTGTAGTGCATGAAGAAATGTTTTGATCTTTGTCAGTTTGATGAGAAAAAATAAAACACTTCATAAAAAATGCTTCATGATTAAAAAGGCTGAGCATCTTCTCATATGTTCAGAAATCATTAATGCATATTTATACAGTGAAGTATGCACCATGCAGCCATCTAGCTTAATGTAGTAAATATACAAGACGAATCACAGTGCCTCGCTCAGTACGTGATGCAGGACGCGATCACCTGCCACGCTAACTCACAAAGCGGGTATGCGTGTGGTGGGGAGACGCACGGGAGGGAAGGGGGCACCCTGAGGGTGGAGAGCACGTCCATAGAAGAGGGACAGTGTCACTTTAAAGCTGGCATGACTTGGGCATATGCAGAGTCAAGTGCGATCTAGACTGACTGCTTTCCTACAAGTTCTTTCTGCTCCCTGTTTCATGTGACTTTTTCTGACTTCTTTCTCTAGAAATTTTAAAAGATACATAAAGGCAGATGCAACTCACTGCAGCCAATTTGCAACTACCCTACTCCCTAGTTCAGAATCGTGGTGAGGGAAAGCAGACGGCATTCACATAGCAAGGTAAAGAGAGTGTCCTTATTCCAGAGGCTGCTTCCCTCGTGTAAGGAAAGGAGGGCTTCTGTGTCCTTCGAGAGAGCAGGGGACCCATGCTTAGGACACAGCCTATTATGTTCTGAGGTGACTGAGCTGCCAGGCTTTGGCCACAGACGTCAGTCGCTGTCTCTAAACTGCTGTCCTGCAGCAAAGCCTTAGCAGGGCCTGCATGTTTCTGCTCCCACTAAGGGCTCCGAGCCGAGTAAACGAGCGCTTTAAAACTGCAATTATCCTTGGGAAGGAAGTAGTAAACCCTGGGTGAAATGATTCACTTTGCAAGGTCCAAACAAACATTTCATCTAATGACCGTCCCCAGTGAAGTAGCAGCTATTGGCTATATAAACAAAAAATAATAATAAAATAATCTTTGAGCCAGGAAAGAAGAGTAAGTTCAGGGGTGATTTACTAACTTGCTGATTGTAATCCAGAAACTTTAGAATTAAAAAGATATATTACTAAAATAGTTTTGAAAACCATTTAATTATGTATTGCTTTGATAGGATCTGTGAATACTGAAGAAAAAGAATTCACTTTCTGTAAAAGAATAAAAATACTATTACATACAGAAAGCCATGTATAGCGCATACTGCCAGGGACTATGGTTATATTACGTACTAGACACGACACGGCATCCTTTCATGCAGATCTTGTGTGGGTACCATTTTCTGAAGAAGAAAATGGGGCCAGGGAAGTACCAATAGAACCTGTGAAGGACAGAGTCAGAATCTTAACCAATTCTTAAGGCCCATCCCGCAGTTTTAAACGCAGTTATGTTATTGAATGACAGGTTGTGAGGACTCACTATTTTAAGGAAAACGTAAACTAAACACGTGATTTGTATAAACCAAACAGGGCAATGCTAAAGATCCAGAGGGTCTGGGGCCCTGTGAAATCATTAAAGCCGCAGCTACTGTGTGTGGAGACCACCAGGGACCACACACTTCACGTGTGCTATTTCCAATTTCCACAACTCGCTAAGATATTGACAGATAGACCCTACTTTCATCTTTTCAAGAAGGAAACTGCACTCAGGGTCACTGGGTCGCTGGCTGTGACGGCAGCATGGGAAATGGCAGAACAAGCTTTAACCCAGCGCAGCTGGCCCTTGCCCTGCACCCCAGGGCGTCGGCCTGGACGAGGCCAGATGACACCCTGTCGGCCTCGGGCTCACCTCCGGGGGAGGGGCAGCTGCCATGTTTCCCCGTTTCCCCACTCGCACCTGCCTTATTCCATCTGCGTGTGCATCTGACCTTTACCCTCCGATCTATCTCTACGTGGATGCCAGGTGATAGTATCAAGTGTGATTCCAGATATGCGCCTTTGCAACTTATTCCCGTGATGCCAGAGTGTTCATCGTACGTTAATTAATGGCAACAGCAATGCACAAAACACTGACATGCAGGTCCAGGGCCTAAGTGTTCATGTAGCGAGTGTTACTCGACTTTCAAGAAATTGTTTCCTCTGCAGTTTCATAGCATTTGATTCATTATCTCTCCTGAAGCTCTATTTAGCTATGAGAAGTATTAACAATTTTTTTTAAGTATAGTCAATATAAATTTAATTTACTCTGTTGGAGTAAGAAAAACCAACCACCACTTGTGCCTTTTATTGCTCTATTTTCTTCTTCTTTTAAAAGAAAAAGTGGATTAATAATCTCAGCTTTTAATCAGCTACCATCGTAGTCGTTTTCCTTAGACATTCTACTTTTGCTGTAAGCTTTTTATTGTTTGTTTTGGTGCATGTATATTGCCATTATTTTAAATATCTCACTTACTGCTTTCTTCGTAAGTGAAAGCCTAGGACCCTCAGATTTCTCGCCATTCAGTCACGTCCAGAGACCTCCCTACTTAAGGATCCTGGCTTCTGTGGTTCTCAACAGCTGCCTCACCCGCTACACGCAGTGTACACACGCTCCTGCCACGGTGGTTTCCGGCTCAAGCCTAGCAACGCTGTGTGATCTGCAGCTCACCAGCCCCCTGTTCCTTTAGGCAGAACCCAGCTGCTAAATCAGAAGTCCTCAGATATATTTTAGTTCCCTGCAAGGACACACTGACCGGCTACTGATGTAACCTTTCTTTTGGCTTCACTTGCAACTTCATGAATATTAAAATGGCCTCTGTACTGGAAAACGCAGTTAAAAACTCTCTACCCCCGATTCCACCCACTGACCTTTGTGAACTGGGAATAAGTCTCCTGGATACTCTGAGTGGTCTTCCAGGGGTCCTCTCTCCTCACAGAGGGAAAAAATCACCACTTTTCTTTAAAAGTGCATTAGCCGCTCCATTTACTGGGGAGATAAATACGTCTTAAAAGCCCATCTCTCTCAAGTTCACCTGTGATTCTGGTCCAGGAGAGAGGACGCTGGGATGCGGGGATGGAAGGGGCCCCCCAGGATGGCCAGTGCAGTCAGTGATGGAAGCAGATGTAAGACTGAATTAGCTTATGTAAGAAACAGTCCCAAACCCCGGAGATGAGAGAAGGGAGAAGAGAGGCCTGGCAGGGAGGCACCGTCAGACCACCCGACCTTCCTGTTCCTGAGACTCTGCCTTCTCTCTTGGGGCTTCTTGCTGGCTCTTGAGCCCCTGTGGGGTTGAGTCCCCACTGCGTGCCGGGGGAGAGGGCGGCTGGGCTCGTGCACAGACAGAACTACTGATTCTCCATTAAGAAAACTTTGGGTCTTCCAAAGGAAAAAACAAATTACTAAAGCTTCCGGATGGCACTAGGGATGAAACACCATATATCAGCTCCAGGACAATCGGCCTCATACACTTGCTTTCCTCCTTCTTACCCCATTGCCTGTTCTCTCTTCCAGGAAAGTTCTCTCCCCGCGGGAGGAGGGGTCCAAGGACAGCCAAGCACCCATTTGGTTACATTCTGCAGACAGAGCCACAAGAGAAATGGGCTGGGAGGAAGTGGCAAGTTCCACTGTGTATTCCCCCCACCGCACAGCCCGGAAGTGCTGCTCCCGAGGAAGATGCAACCGTGCGTGAGAGACAAACAAATGCACATCGGATTCTGCCCACTAGAGCAGTGGGGCTGTTCCGGGGGTTGACCTTCTGTCTCCCAGATCTGAGGGCCCGTCTCGGCCACGGTGCAGTCCCAGAGCAGAGGGGTCCCACGTCTGGTCAGCACCCTGTAAATAAGTCACCTTTCTTGTAACCCGGGGTCAGTGCCCGGGAAGGTGCGGTTAGGGATGCCAGGCAGAGTCAGACTCTTACTTCTTACAAAAATACTGCACCTGATCTCCAGCTCTTTGATTTATTAAACCGAGATGTGTTTAGTGTTGCTGACACTGCCAGGCCGAACGAGATAGATGTCCTCCCACCCGTACACTCGGGTTGATGTGGCTGAAATACGGCTCTGTGTTTTCCAGACACTGAGCAGTTAACACCGTGTCTCATGTCCAATCAATGTGGAGCTGCGTCTCAGCAAACGTCAGGGGAGAGCAGGAAGCTCTCAGGGGCGAACGTCTAGTCCAGGCCCCTTTCACCCCTTCTGCTTGAAGTCCAGGGGCAGTGCGTACATGTTTCGGTGGTGCTGGCTTTGAAAGTTGCTATGGACTGAATTGTGCCCCACCTGCCCCCAAATTCATATATGGAAGCTGAACCCTCGGGGTGACTATATGTGGATTAAGGTTATTAAGGTTAAGTGGGGTCACAAGGGTGGGGTTCTAATCCTATAGGACCAGTGCCCTTTTAAGAAGGGGCACGAGACAGCTCCCCCTCTGCAGGTGAGGACACAACCCAAAAACCATGTCTGCACACCTGGGAGGGTCCTCACCAGGAACTGAACCTGCCGGCACCTTGGACCCCAGCCTCCAGACTGTGGGAAACAAATGGCTGCTGGGACAGGGCCCCCGTCTGCGGCCTCTTGTACGGCAGCCCCAGCTGATTAGGACAAAAGTCATTTGAATTGTTTTAAATTTTTACTCACACAAGAAAGTGGCTTCAGACCAATTCTTGACCTACTTCAGCAGCGCAGCCTAGCGGGAATTGTGGATGATAATAATTATGATATCATTTTGGTTTTATGCAGCACTTTTCCTCTGAGCAGTTCACAGCACTTTAGAAAAATAATTTAAAAATACGAGGTAGGGACGAGCATTATTAGTCATAATTTGCAATCAACCTCGGAAGACAGGCTTTTAAAGTGAATAATTTGAACTAATCAGTTAGTTATTGAGCCAAAGAATTAGTAAAATCTAGTTCTTTTTTAACAATTTATTTAATTAAAAAAATTTTGATACAGTTTTAAAGGTTACTTTCCATTTACCGTTATTACAGAATATTGTCTATATTCCCTGTGTTGTATGATACATCCTTGGGCCTGCCCTACATCCAGTAGTTTGTGCCTTTCATTCCTCCACCCCTCTATTGCCCCTCTCCCCACTGGTCACCACTCATTTGTTCTCTACATCTGTGAGTCTGCTTCTTTTTTGTTATATTCACTAGCTTGTTGTATTTTTTAGATTCCACGTATGAGTGATCTCATACAGGATTGGTCCTTCTCTATCTGACTTACTTCACTGAGCATAAGGCCCCCAAATCCATCCATGTTGCTGCAGATGGCAAAATTCCATTCTTCTTCATGGCTGAGTAGTATTCCATTGTATGCATATACAACCTCTCCTTTCTCCATTCATCTGCAAAATCTAATTCTTAAAACAGCGTTTTTGTTACCATGGAATACTTTCTTCATGTGCTTTTCTATTAAACATGGGCAACTTTGAATTTCTAAGATTATGGCAGGGAAACATTAAACATCATTATAATTTTACAGTAAAACGCTAGATGAAATCCACGTGTGAAAAAGTCTGTGAATCCATTTCCAGATTTCATACTGGTTTGTGCGTTTCTCAGGTGCATGGTGGGAAAGTCCCACTGATCAAAGGCTGGGCTGATGGCCCTCAGGCCCTGGTGCTACCCGTAACGTGGTCTCCACAGGGTCTCGGGGAGCACGGTTTGCCCCACAGCAGCCCGTTCAAGGCGCAGGGCTGTGCCGTCCCAGACAGCGCACTGGCCGCTCTGAGTGCTTGAAGCGCGACCGGTCCAAACTGACTTGATTCTGTTCCTTTTAAATGTGGCGACTAGGAAATGTAAGCCTCACAGGGCACACTCCTGTCGTTATGCGCAGCTCTGGTCTAGACAGACGTTCCCAGGACTCCCACCAACCTCCTCTCTCCTGGGACCCTTCAGGCTTTTAGGCCCGGACACAGCTCGACCACCAGCTCCGGGAAAGGGGCCCCTCCTCCTGTTCAGGTTTCTGGAAGGTTTGCTTATGCCCGCGGTCTCTGGTTAAGCCACCCCCCCGCCTTCTGTGAGCTAGCCACAGTTAGGATCACATTGCCTCTCAAGATAATCTTTGCAAATGAAAGGTTTTATTTAAGAAATTCCTATAGAGAAACCCTGCAGTCCCTTTAGTAATTCAGCGACTCCTCACTGACAGGAGAGGACCGTTGCCCAGGCACGTGGCGCGTCTATTGCAACTGTGAGAGTGACTCGCAGCCGGGTTTTCTCTAAGGATGTTCTCTCGGGTTTCTTCCTCGTGCTCACGTCAATGACACGCCGGAAGACGTTATGCCCGTTACTGGTCTTTGGGGCCACAGGTCAGCCTACGCAGAGTTTCCTCCTCTGTGTTCCCATAAAGCCTTATTCACACCTCACTTAGAGAGTTTACCACAATCTGAATTATGGCCTCCTGGGTGTCTCCACTGCTGGTTTCTGACGGTGTCTGGCACACAGCATTGCTCAACCCCTGCAGGACGGATGGGTGGGTGGATGGATGGGTAAATGGGTGGGTGGGTGGATGGATGAATGCATGGGGACATGAATGAGCTTGGTATATGGATTTAGAGAATTTAGATTCCATTACTGCTACCAGATCATTTATAAAGATGTTGAAATAAAATTATGCCCAAGGACTTTCATTATCAATTATTTTCTATTTGTCCCTGGTTATCTGTTTTGTACCAAATCTGTCCTCAGTGAAATGTGCAATTTAAAGTTTCCGACTGAAGCTCCAGTTCTTGGAGGACACAGTGGGCCACTTCTCAGATATCCTCATCCTAAACACAAGAGGAGATGTGTGCTTTTCTAACATGTGTTTATATACACGTATATTAAAGTTTATTTACAGAGATAAATACGTATCTTTCTCTAGATACGTATGCGTTCCTCATTATTTGAACTTCTCAGCCCTTATAACTGCATGGACTCTTTCATAGTGGATTGCCAGCGAGCATCTTTCTTCTCAACTTCGTGGAAACCGTGCAGCAAAGAGACGAGAGGGACAAGATTTGCAGAGCACGTGCCCTGTGTCATCACAATAAGAGGTTTCACACACTTCCCCTCATTTCATCCTCACCCCAACCATCCAGGTCATGTCGTCTCATTACACAGAGAACTAAACCCTGGCGTCGGGTGAAAGGGCCCCCAGTGCCCTAGAGGCAGCGGGAAGTCCAGGCTCTGAACCAAGCCTCCGGGAGCCCCGCCCCGCTGCGTACCCTGTGAGCTGTACTGTCCAGAGTGGAGTGCAGGGGCCGCCCCTCCTTGCCCTTTGCACCCACCACACTGTCCCACTGGAGCAGCGTAAGGTTCACTGAAACCACTGCACCAGATCCTTGGAATGAGTCCAAGGGTTTTAGACTCTTTAAGTGCTTACTTGTTGCGGAGCACGGGCTCCTAATGCGCAGGCTCAGCAGCCATGGCTCACGGGCCCAGCCGCTCCGCGGCATGTGGGATCTTCCTGGACCGGGGCACGAACCTGCGTCCCCTGCATTGGCAGGTGGACTCTTAACCACTGCGCCACCAGGGAAGCCCTAAGTGCTTACTTTTTAAAGTGGAGAGTGAAAAGGCTGTGTTCTTTGTTCACAGGACTTGTCAAAATTCAAAATTCAGTTAAGACTTCACATAGATTATGAAACCAGCTTTTATGCTGCTCCAGGCACATGTTTATTCATGTAGAATCTCAAAAAGAATTTAATAAAAGGCGTGCTCTGCCAGAGAGGCCGCGACGAACATTAGCCCACGTTCTGTTGCTCTCCTTCCTAAAGACGTAGGTATACACGGAGGGCCGAGCAGCCCCGAATGATAACACCTGCCTTTGATCTTAACAATCGTTAAGACATTTTTTGGAAGTTAGGAAGCCAATGCAACCAGAATTCCATGTGAGATTAAAGGCACCCTGCACATCTCTTTCAAGCACACACTGGAATTTATTTATAAAGTTATAATTGAGACTTCCCTGGTGGTCCAGTGGTAAAGAATCCGCCTTGCAATGCAGGGGAGGCGGGTTCAATCCCTGGTCGGGGAACTAAGATCCCACATGCTGCGGGGCAACTAAGCCCTCGTGCCACAACTACTGAGCTCACGTGCCGCAAACTACAGAGCCCACGCGTCCTGGAGCCTGTGCGCCACAACTAGAGAAGGGAAAACCCGCACGCCACAGCTAGAGAGAAGCCTGTGCACCACAAAGAAGACCCTGCCTGCCTCAACAAAGATCCCCCGTGCCGCAGCTAAGACCCGTCGCAGCCAAAAATAAATTAAAAAAAAAAAGTTATACTTGAGGTTCTGGGAAAGAACTGAAGGTAGCCCAGGACCACAGGATAAGACATATTCAAGGAAGTGTCAGATTTCATGCAGGTTCATCCTTAAGCTCCCAGCTACGGAGGGTCCCAGCCCACCCAGCGGCAGGTGGAAGGCACAGCCCAGAGGCCACGTGGGCTCCAGGCCACAGAGAATCCCTGGAAAACCAGTGCCCAAGGGAAAGGGTGAAAACCACTGGGATGACAGGGGACACAGAGAGGGCTGTGGACGGATGTGTCCAGGATTCCATCAGCTCGCCAGTGACCTTCAGAGGCGTGTCCCTGTCCACCAGCAACACTGCAGTGGGGTTTCTCCTCCAGACACAGGTGTGCTGTGATGTGTGCTAATTACAGACCCTGAAATGATTCAAATCCCCAGGCACGTGCTGGGGAAGGTGCGCAAAGGATGAATTTTGCTTTAAGCAGCGCAGTACCTCTCTCTCCCTCTCCGCACGGATGTTCCAGGGCAGCTCCTCCGCCGAATCACCTGCTGCCAGATCGATGCCTGGGCCAGTGCGAGGTGGGGAGCTGCCAGGAGGGCTCTCCTTGACATTGTCAACGAATCGTGCCTCTTACAAAGACAGTCCACTCCTTAAGGACATATATATATATATATATATACACACACACACACAGATGTGTACACTGTACATGTGTACGTGTGTTTTGTGTGTGTATTCTACATACGTAGGTGTGTTATGTATATCTACCTCTTGGTACTAACACATGCACATACACGTGTGCACAAAGGCCACTTTTTAAACACCTTTAAAGGTAAGATGGGCAAAGCACGCCATCCGTGGTCTGCACCACACTCCTCAAGGGAGGGCAGAGCGTCGTTCTGGGTGTAAACCAGAATACGCCCAGTAATAAACTCTTATCTCATGTGTTCAATTAAATGCAACATCTTCTTCCAGCATTTACAGTAACGGGGAAGAAAACAGGTATTCTACAGCTCACCAGTACAAGATATGGCAAGATTTTTCACACTGAAATCTTTTCTGGAAAATCGATTGGTACAAATAAGGCGCCTCAGAGACGCAGACCTTTGAAGACGTCCACATAGCCTGGAGTTGGACGTGCCCCTGGAGGTGGGTCCCTGAGCTGAGCCCCTGGGGGGTGTTCCAAGTGTTGGGAGAGGGGCAGATGGTGGCGCAGGCCCCAGGGATCTGCACCCATTACCCCTGTGCACGCAGTGCTGGCGAGACGCCCAGCAGAGGTTTCACCCCAGCATCTCTCCTCCCACCGGGGCCAAACCCCTGAGACCAGCGATGGACAGAGCGATGTAGGCCACCTCCTGCCTGAAGTGGCCTTCGCTTCCCTCCCATTTGGAGGCCCGAGGAAGCTGCCCACGAAGCCCCGCGAGGCCGCGGGGGCCAGGAGACCCTCCCTGTGCCTGGGCTGGGGCTGTGCTCGTGGGTAACTGGGAGTCTGGCTGACCAGGCCCTGCTCCCTCCCCCCAGACTCCCAAGGTCACCTCGGTGCTGACATCAACACACACACGGAGCTGCTTCAGGGGGGCGGCTTTTTGTTTTAAACATCCGGTGATGAATGTAAGTGGCTGGTTGACTCTCTTAAAAAATGCAACTCAACATTGATCCGGTGGCTTCTCTGTTCCAGGACTCATTCTTGGCCTGGGACACTGAACGGACAACACAGTCCTTGCTGTAGGGACGCACAGAACACCGGGGAGACCGTGCCTTCCTCACCAACCACCCTGAAGGTTATGATGGATGTGTGAGAATTTCTTTAACACACGGTCTCAGTGACTCCTGAGAAAAATGGGAGAAGAGTTCCCACAAAGCAGACACGTGACGACATCACTAGTCTCTGTCACACAACATGGAGATCCATGATATCCTATTCTGATGGAAAAGTGATATTTTCTGCCGTAAGAAGACAACATTCACTAAGCCGAGATCAGAAAACCCAGCTCTTGCGAAAGAGCTTTAAACCACACCAGCTACCCTGGAAGGCAGGAGGTGAGAGCCTTGAGCTGGGAGATTGACTGACGGCTCACCGTTGTTCTGTTTGGATGCAGGAAGCAACGATGAATGAGCAAATTACACCCCCCCCGCCCCCCAAGCAGGGCAGCACTGGGATTAGCAGAGCTGCCCTCCCGGGTGGGATCCGAAGCCCTAAGAAAAGGGCACGACCTTTCCTTCCAATATGGTGCCACATGCCCTCAATCGTGGTATTTGTTTTGCATCAAAATCAACCTGATGTAGGTCCTCCGAGTACCTGCTTCTGAAGAAAATAAACTATTAAAATAGGCTGATTAACAGTAGCACCAAATAGAAACACTAGCAACATCTAATAGAAAGAAAGTTGCTAAGAACTGGAGAAAGAGACTCTGAGATTCAAATCTTCTCTGTTCCACAGTGTTCCTGATTGTTTGTAATAACGGGGGCGGAGGCAGGGACGCGTCCTGGTCTCTGGCTCCCAAGAGACTCTAGAGGCAACAGGCACGAGGAAATGTTTCCGTTCAAATTGGAGATGAGCGGCTGAGGCTCTGACAAGTAAATTTCAGCCCAGAATGAAATGGAGAAATACACAGATTATTTCAGGAAAAATTCCAGACCCAGAGGAAGATAATGAGAAAATTTCCTGTGCCATTAAGCCCACGGAAATAAACTGCATGAGTGCAGAAGACAGGGGAGCATGGGAGGAAAACGGAGGGCGGATGTGTCCTGAGACAGCGCAGTCCCTGTTACACACGGGGTGGGGGGGGTGTGGTCCTTCCCTGTACCAGGAGGAGGGGCAGAGGGGGTGTGCATGTGTAACAGAGAGAAACACAGAGAGAGACCAAGAGAGGCAGAGATGGAGAAAGATGTGGAGACACAGACACAGAGCCAAAGGAAGAGGGAGGGAGAGAGGTGGATGGAAAATGGGGATTCTGCCCACATGGGCCCCCTTCCCTCCCGCGACGTGGATAAAGCCGACTCCTCAGTTCAGCCCTGGCTCCAGCCTGTCTGGCACAAAATCATATACTGAGCACCCACGTCCACCAATTGCTGGAAAAGGGCACGAGAAACAAGCACGGTCCCTGCCTGGAGGGGAAGACGGAAAAGCAAGGATCACACCGTGCGGGACAAACGCTCTCATACGCGATACCCCAGGCGGGATGGGACATTGTTAATCGGGGGGTGGGGGTGGGTGACAAGTGACCTGGACACACGGGTGAGTAGGAGGGAAACAAAGGAGGCTGGGGGAGGCTTTGCAAGAAAAGGGATGACACAAAGAGAGTGAAAAACAGAAGCTTGGGACAGAAGCGTGTATTTGACAAACTCCAAATAATTAACTCCTTTGGAGCAAAAGCTGGGCTCGTATTTCTGTGGCATCTCTCAGTCTAGTAAGTGTCCAAACAACGGCCGCCCATATAGCGGAGAACAGGTTACTTGTCATCTTTTCTGGTCATCTACTTTCCAAAGTATTGTGCGGGATACTGAAAATAAAATTATACCACATACGTACAAAAGCTGTCAACATAAACACAGAAAAGGACAGAGACTAAATAGAAAAAGGACAGAGCTATCACCTCCCTCAAGAACTCAAAGCGACGAGGCACGCTGCCTGCTGCCCAAGCAAAAGTGGGGGAGTGCACAGCTTCTGGCGAAGGGAAGCCCCCCCCTCACCGGGTGAGACCCCTCTCTGGTGGTTTACAGCTTGTTGACGTGTCCGCAGGATGTCAGGGGGCTTGCTACTGTCACCTGTTCCCGCTGTCCTTCCTGGTTACCTTTGTCAGAGGGGATGACGGTTCTTTCTGTGCTGATGGCTGGAAAACACTGTGAATTGTACACTAAAAAATGGTTCAACGGCAAATTTTATGTTTTGTACATTTTACCACGATAAAAAAGGAATGCCATTTCTTTGAAACCTCACCTTGCGCAATTTTGCCCGTGTGGACGACCCCAAGCCATCCAGCCTGAGCATCTCGGAGGGCTGGATGAGTCTTCACACAGTGCTATAATGTTTAAACCATGTATATCCTTGAATGTAAAATTTATACATATCTGCTCAAGCACAGAAAAGAACGTAGGAAAAGGCATCCTACCCGAGAGGTGTCTGACTTCCTGTCTCTGAGCCCGTGTCTCTTTTTCTCCCACACAAGTGCCTGTTTCCAAATGCCAACTGCAGGGTGCCTCTCCTCTCATAATAACTAAACTTTAACCAATTATAAATAGTGTGGAGCCTCGAATAGGAGTTGAAAACTTTTAAATGAGATGAAGATATGGGAAGCAGTTTTGTGGGATGCAGAGAGCAGAGATTTACTAGCCAGACGTTTCTAAGTTTCCATCCCGTTGTCACTAGTGACTAAATGCATAAACTGAGGCAGGATATTAAGTGCTTCTGAGTCTCACTTTCCACGTCTACGAAATGGGGATAATAATATTTAATTAGTGGGTGTGTTTTTAAGTGAGTTTTAAAGAAGACAAAAAGAGGAAAAAGAACAAGGGCAAAAAATAGAAAATGGTAACAAATATGGTAGATATGAATCCAACTATATCAGTAATCACTGTGAATGCCAATGGTCTAAATGCACTGATTAAAAGACAGAGACTGTCAGAGTGAATAAAAAAAAAAATGTTGTCTACCAGAAACCTACTTTAAAGACACATGTAGATTAAAAGCAAATGGATGGAGAAAAATATACCACGTTATCCCTAATCTAAGCGAAGCAGGAGTAGCCCTGTTCACTTCAGGCAGAGCAGACTTCAAATAAAGGAAACGCATCAGGCATAAAGACGGTCATCGCATAGTCCTCCAAGAAGATGTGACAACTCTCAACACGTACGCACCTAACCACAGAGCTCTGCCAAACTATGCGAGGCAAAATGCATACAATGGCAGAGGAAAAAGACGCATCCACTATCATAGCTGGAGACGTCAACACCTCAATCAGTAATGGACAGAGAGAGCAGACAGAGAATCGACAGCAGACACGGCAGGACAGAGATGCGCTCAACACCACCACCAGCCCATGGGGTCTCACTGACATCTGTAGACGACCCCCCTATCAGAGCAGAACACACCTTCTTCTCAAGGCCATATGGGGCACTGACCACAACAGACCACGTTCTGGGCCGTGAGACGTGTCTTAAAGGATGAAATGATAACTAAGTGAAACTGGATGCGTGCTCAGAGCACACAGGGGCTCAGTGGACACCCTCCTCCCTACTTCCTCCAGGTTTCTTATCTTCAGGTCTGCATTTCACTCAACGTGGGCTAATTAATCCACTCCAGGAAGATGTGTGACTCCTCAAGTTCCATAACAAGCTCTGCGTCTCCCATGCATCCCCAACACCTGTATCCCTGGCAGGACTCAAGCCCTATCGCTAACCATGTCGCTGAAATATTATGATCTGGACCCTAGAAGCTGGCGAGTGGATGCTTGGCTTGTGGAGCTGTTTCCAACTGGCTACTCCCAACCCAGCCCGTTCTGGCTCAGTTCCTTGTATTACATCACACCCTCTCTCTCCCCAGATCCACCTTGAGTATCATACATGGTCAAGAAATATTGAATAAAACCACGTAAGATGGTCTTACGCAACTCAGGAGAGAGTCTTTCACACTACATTTGCTACTTAATCTGAGGAGGTTCTCCCCGTTACCCTTTAGGCGGCGTGCAGCAGGGGTACGCCTGCAAGACGCCAGCGTGTCCTGCATTCATCAGCACGTCCACGCCACGTGGGGTTGCTTGATCTTGTGAAACGTTAGCTCAGGGGGTACTTTTGTCCAGATGCTGCCTGACAGAGATGGGGAAGTCTATCCTGAAGGCAGCGGGAGAAACTCTGCAAAGCCCAGTCTAGGCAAGCCCCACAGAAGCAAGTACCCCAGGAGCGCACCAGGAACTGGGTGACATGACACAGTTGATGCCGGGTGCACCCTGGCTTAGTCCACAGAATAAACTCTGACAGCTCCACAAAAAATTATATTCAAGACACCCAGTGTGCAGAAGGGCTTACAGGATCCAGAGGGTAACCTTGCCGACAGAACCACTAAGAGCCAATGGCAGAATTAAAATGGCAACTCTGAGTCTCAAAGCAAAACTCATCATTTGTTAAGTGTGACTTCTACATGTCATAATACACTGATTTTTACTTCCTCCAATTCATTTTAAAAAAAGTAGATGCTTCCATTTATTAGCAATTCTATAACAAACTGACCGCTCCGCTTACCTGATCCAGGCTCTAGATGCTTCCCAACAAACTCAGTTCCTCACAGTAGTTCCTAAGTCATAAACACACTTAAACCCAGAAATGAGTTTCCTTCAGGCTGGGAGTGGTCCAGCGTCTCGTGTCAGGCTCCCCCACCCAGCAAGTGCATTTGCATTTCTTGTATCAGACAGAAGCCAGAGCAGCTCTGAATATCATAGTCAAGGAGAGAAAAGATCCAAAGGGATTTTGTTCTCACAGATTTTCTTACATTCAGCAACTCCGATACCTAGATGGCTGTAATTTTCTAAGTCCCGAGCTTCAGGCTGGAAATCTTACATGATTTTCTGCAAAGGAAGCCAACAAGCAACCAGATTCACTTGCGAGCTAAGGCACAGTGAACACCTTTGCGGTATTTTCCTCTTCCTAAATTAACAGTCACAGGCACACACACACCTGTGCACACACTGAACCCAGACACAGCCCAAACACACCCAGGGATGGGAGATGCCTGCACATTACACACCTGGCTCTTTTCTTTCTACAAGTAGCTTACTGAGGCTGGTAACAGTCTAGCATAACTTGCTGTGGGTTAATTTATAGATAAGCCCCCAATCTAAAGTGTTTACCATTCTCATTACCCTGGAGACTGGCTTTCTTCTCGAATACATTTGTGCAAA